ATGTCTTTTATTTTCTTCTCTTGCCTAGTTGTTCTGGCTCAGATGTCTGGTACATGTTGAATAAGAGTGGTGAAGGTGAACACCCTTGTCTTTTTCCAGATCTTAGTGGAAGCCCTTTTGATTTTTCCCCATTCAGTATGATGTTGGCTGTGGATTTATCACATATCTTCTATCTTTTATCATGTTGAGGTAAATTCCTTCTATACCTAATTTGTTCACAATTTTTATCATGGAGGGATGTTGAATTTTCTTGAATGCTTTTTCTGTATCTATTGAGTTGATCATATGATTTTTATCTTCTGTTTTATTTATGTGATATATTATGATTTCTATATTTTGAACTATCTTTGCATCCTTGAGATGAGTCCCACTTGATTATGGTGAATGATCTGTTGGTTCTGTTGAATTTAATTTGTTAATATTTTGTTGAGAATTTTTGCCTCTATATTGTCTTAATTTGTTTTTTTGTTGCTGAGACAAAATACCTGACACCCAAAGTTAAAGGAGGAAGGGTATATTTTAGCTCACGCCTTGTAGAGATTCTCCCTTCTTCCCTTTCTTCTGTGACTCAGTCTAGTTTTGGTATTAGGGCAAATCTTGTCTCATAGAATGAGTTTGGAAGAGTTCCCTTCCTTTCAAAGTGCAGTGCAGTGTATACACATGGGGAAGGAATGTGCCTGTTAGTTTCCACAGGCTGTACAGGAGTAGGACCACTCTAGCATGCTGGGCAAATGTGGTGCAGCACACATGTCAGTGTCAGTGGTTGCAGAGTGTGTTAGGCAGCTTTCCATTGCTATGACAAAATACTTGTGAAAATCGTCTTAGAGGGAGGAAAGACTTATTTTGGCTCACAGTTCCTGTGCATGGTCAGGTATCATCTTTATTTCTGGGCTTGTAAAGAGGCAGTACTTCAAGGCAGAGCAAAGTTACTCGCTTCATGGCAGCCAGAAGAAAAGAGAGAGGGAGAGAGAGAGAGAGGGAGAGAGAGAGGAAGAAGAAGAAGAAGAGGAGGAGGAGGAGGAGGAGGAGGAGGGTGGTGAGGGGAGGGAAGAGGAGGGGAGGGAGAGGGAGAGGGTGAGAAGCTAGGGACATATTATACCCTTCAAGGACATCCCACCCAAGTGACTGACTTTCTCCAACTAGACTCAGTTTCTGCCACTTCACAATAGTCCATTCAATTATGAACCCATCAATAGGTTAATCCATTGATGATATGAGAGCCCTTGTGATACAGTCATTTCTCAAAAGCCCCACCTCTGAACATTGCTGCATTGGAGACAAAGCCTTTAACACATGAACTTTTGGGTGATATTTTAGATTGATATAATAACATAGGACTTCAGTTAGTCTCCACAGGCTGTACTAAAAGTGAGGCTACTCATGTGGCCCTTGGGAAAACTGATGCAGCTTGTAAGGAACAGAGGCACAACACTTTTGTGCAGTATGGGGGCATCTGTCAGTCCTGGGAGCTGTCAGGGGCTAGGATCTCTTCAGTGTGCCTGGGTTGGTGAATTCTGGCAGTAACAGGGATAGGGTGATGGCTCCCTGGTGTAGAGCATACCTATTAGTCTGCAGGCTGTGTGGAGGTGGAGCTACTTCAGTGGCCTTGGGCCTATGGCTGTAATGGCTGTGTCTGGTTTTGTTCGATCTCAAAATAGCACCATTCATCATAGCTTTGGGGGTGGGTACTTAGTATATGCACTGGGCTGAATCACTGTAGCAGTGCAATTGCGTGCATTCCCCCACCGACTCCCCAACTGGGCTCAGGGCTTAGAAGGGCCCCAAGATTCCTCAGCAGCAAAAACTTTAGGTGTCCTTGATACCCATATAGACTGTTGAGGGCCTCCTGTTTATCTTTTCCCTATGATAGGAAGATTTTCCCCAGTTCAAACTGGTCCAGACTGTGGCAGCAGGGCAGTTGATTCTAGGCACTTGTTTTTCTTCTTTACCAGACCATCTGGTGTCTCTGTATCCCACAGATTCTCCGTTTTATCTATGCTGTGTTCTAGTGCTCTTTCTGAATGTTCTAGCTGGATAGCAGGTGTTCTTTGTTTTTCATCTTTCTTTGTGTGTAGGTGGCTGTACCCAGTGCTTCTAGTCAGCCATCTTGTTGGAACTTTCCTCCTGATTTTCTTTTTATGTAGACATCACAGGAAGATGAAGAAGCACACTGCTGTAGGGCAGGTGCTCCAGCCAAGTTTGAATTGTTGTGAATTTCCTCCTTGACATGGATTCTGTCTTGGCTAGTCTATTTCATCTCCAACTTTTGCCCCCTGGAACTAACCACTGTCTCCATGTGTACAATACTCTCTGTTACCTATACTTATCTCCGTTCTGCTCCAACAGTCATGAATAATAATTGTCAGAGCATTCTGAGGATAATAGTATGTGCTTGGAAATTCTACAGGCCATGACATGGGAGATATATCTAGTCAGGCCATAAATTGATTAATTGGAAAGGTTAAAATTAACTGAAGTTTTAAGTAAAATTAATTAAAATTTTATTCTCTATTCTTGTTTCCTCTTTGACTTTGAAACAAAATGACAAGGTAACCTGAAAAACAGGATGGAAACCAGAGCTATTGCTCTGTAAGCAATGCAAAGTTCATTATTTCCATAAACTCCAGGAGTCAAAACTGGGTTTTAGTGTTTTGCATGGAAAGTGTGGCATTTTTCTAAATGTATGCAGATAAATAAGCTTTTCTTACCAATGCGATGATTATGTCTCTCTGATGAGAAGTACAAAATAGCTATAATTTTAAAACAATGTGTATTTAAAGAAAAAAGTTGAACCTACATATTCACTGATGAGTATTTTCTAAGTAGGCATTTTTCTTAGTGAAATCAACTGAGTATCTCAAGTCCTTTAACCTCTCAACACAAGTAGTAAAGTACTTGTAAAAACCCCATTTTTATATTTCTACAGATTTTTTTTCTCCAGACTAGGCCGTCTGGAAATGTATTTGTTATCACCATGGTTGATCTGTAGAAGTTCCACTACCTAGGCTACAGTGGGTCAGATAGGGAGACAGATCAATCCAGTGGTCAAACAAACACTGGTTTGGACAGGTTCAAGCTTCATGTAGGTTTTCTAGCCAGTAGAAGATTGTGACACACACACTCTCTCTCTCTCTCTCTCTCTCTCTCTCTCTCTCTCTCTTCACACCTGCAACCACATTTTAGGATTCTGGGAACTGGAGCCTCATGGAGATGATGCTGTCTGAAAGCAGGGACTCCGTTGTTCACTGCTGTGTTCCTTGTGCCTGGTATACTGTGGCTTGACATATAATACACATTCTGTAAATCTTTTATGAAGAAATGGAAACCCAATTTAGCAATCTCGTTATGTTACATTTAGAGCAATAGAGGCTGAGAGAGGGTCAGTGGCCTTCCCATAGCTTCCTGGAGATTCTAGGAGGTGCTGGGGCCAAACTTCAGGGCTCTTGGCTCCTGGTACAACTCTCTTCTACAACTATGTTGCCTTCCTCAGAAACTAGCCTGGCCTTCCTATTTCTTTCTAATCTAACTATTCTTTCTCCACGTTTTTTCCTAGTAATTTCCAGCTTGGTTTGAATTCTGTGCTAGTTTTTTATTTGCTGTGTAGCAACACAAACTTAGCAGCTCAGTATGATGTACATTTATTACATCACAGTTTTGATGGACCAGTTTGGGCATAGTGTAAGTGGGTTCTCTTTTCAAGGTGTCATAAACTACAACCAAAATGTTGGCTTGGTTTCATTTGTTTTTGGAGTTTGGAATCCTTTCCCAAGCTAATATGGTTGCTGGAACAATTCAGTTTCTTGCAGTTATAGGACTGCTACCTGTCAGAAGGTGGCCACTATCAACGTCTGGAGGCCTTCTAAAGTTTCCTCCTTCTCACAACATTGGAGCTAGATTCTTCAAGGCTTGCAGGAGGATCTCTCACACCAGGAAAGGCCAAGTTCCCCTTTCAAAGCTTTCAGCTTATCAACTCAGACCCACCTAAACTAGTCTTCCTTTTGATTAACTCAAAATTGACTGATCAGAGACCTTAAGGATACCTACAAAGGTCCTTTACCTATGCCTAATTAGAGAGGCAGTATCTCATCTTACTCATAGTCCTACACATGCTAAAGGACTATTGAGGGTATGTATACAAGGAAGTGAGAATCTTAGGAACCATATTCAACTTACCACAAATGTATTTGTATTGTATTGCAATCTAAGCAAAGCTGGAATCTGAAGGACAATAAATGAATCACATTTATTGAATTTCTTGGTAATCATACTCGTCTGTTTTTCAATTATTGAACTCATCTCCTTTTTCTACAACATGTATGAGATATATACTAAGGCATGTATGTGTGGATGTTTGACTATAAGAGGCAGATGGCTCCAAAGATGGTTAATTATAATGGCCTCTCTCCTTGATATTTCTTTTTATTGTTTGCCGTTTAAATATGTTTCTGGTTTCCAAATGTTTCCATCCTTGAAACTTTCTTCATTTCTCCCATTGATAATGAAATCTGTTTTTAAATTTAAGATTGGTTAATTTTCATGCGTATGTGTTTAATCTTTTTAAGAAAAAAATTATAGCACATGACCTCATATTTGGCACTCTGTAGAATCTGAGGATGTTTTGATTTGATCCTTCTTTTTGATAGTTCTTGTTATTTTATCTGCTTGTGTCTAAACTTCAGCCCACGACCTTTGAAATGAAGACTCAGTGTCTTTGGTACTGTTTCCAATCTCTGAATCTAGTCTCATGGTTCATACATATAGATGCAAATACAGAGGGGATCATCATAACTTCTAACTTTTCTGTTTCTAGTCACAACTATTCAGTTTCTATTTGAGGATAGGTCACAGAAGGACAAGCCCAAATCCATATATTGTGGCATGAAAATTACCCTGATTGTGGTATTATATCAGGGGATTTGACCTAAGCCAGGAGTGCATATTCATCAGCACAGAATCAGGACATTTCCTGGGACGAAAGTGAGAGCCTTCCTTCCCTAGCCATGTTCCTTGCTGCCCTAGGACTGCTGATGCCAGTAGTAGTGGCTGAATTTCTCATTGGCCTAGTTGGAAACGGAATCCTTGTGGTCTGGAGTTTTGGAGAATGGATCAGAAAAGTCAAGGGATCCTCATATAACCTCATTGTCCTGGGGCTGGCTGGCTGCTGGTTTCTCTTGCAGTGGATCGTGATGTTGGACATAATCCTGCTTCCTTTTTTTCCAGAACAACCATTGGCTTTGCTATCTCAATATTTTTTGGGTGCTGGTAAGCCAGTCTAGCCTGTGGTTTGCTACTTTCCTTAGTGTCTTCTACTGTAAGAAGATCATGACCTTCACTCACCCTGCCTACTTATGGTTGAAGCGGAGGGTCTGTAGTTTAAGTCTCTGGTGTCTTCTGGGACACTTTCTCATTAATTTGCTACTTATAATCAACACCAGCTTAAAGCCCTATAGTCTTACCCAAGGAAACAGCAGGATTCCATATCTCTTTACAAGCTGGCACACTTGTTTACTATTTCAGTTCGTTGCAGGAAGTTGGTTTCCTTTCACGGTGTTTCTTGCTTCCTCTGGGGCACTAATTGTCTCTTTGTATAGACAGCACAGGAAGATGAATGTTCATGCCCCTGGTAGGAGAGATTCTCGAACGCAGGCTCACATCACTGCCCTGAGGTCCTTAGGCTGCCTTTTTATACTGCACTTGATTTACAGTGTGGCTACCCATTTTTCCATCACTTCCCAGTATTCTTCTGCTGATCTCACTAGGGTCCTAATCTGTGAAACATTCATGGCTGCCTACCCATCTCTTCATTCTGTCATACTCATTATGGGGATTCCTAGGGTGAAACAGACTTGTCAGAGAATCTAGTGGAAGACAGTATGTGCTTGGAGATCCTGGGGCCAATGATCTGAGGAGAAAGATGTGGCCAAGATGCTCCTTAGAGATACTCTTTTGATAGCTCTCTGTGAAGGAGTTGACTTTCATATCTTTTAAGATTTTTCTTCTTGACACAAATTCAGTGAATGAGCAACAAGAAATACAGAATATAACCAATATTATTTCTCTTTTTGCAATACAAAGTTAATTGTTTTAATGTGTTACAGAAATAAAGGCAGGGGCTTTATGTTTGTTAGAAGAGATATATGTTTTGCTTTCCTATTACAGAAAAAAAGACTAGGAACAATGTAATGATTATTAATTTTTATGAAATTTCATCTGTCAATAATAGTCATTTTGGATAAGCTTTTAAAAATCTATCAAATAAATTTCCCACTTCTTCACTATAGTAGGCCTACTTGTATAAATGAAGAATGAAACATCTTTATATTCTGGAATCATCTTTGAGCCCTAGATTACCTTTCAGGATAAGAGTCAGTTTGCTGCCATCGTCTATATTAAGCTCCAGTGTCCAGGACTTGGACTAAGGCATAATGGGTGTGAGAGGCACTTGGTTGTGCTGTTAGAAAGAACACTACAGCCAGGCATGGTGGTGCTTGTTTGTAATCCCAGCCTTCTGGGAGCCTGGGACAGGAGGATTGCAAGTTCTAGTCCACCCTGGGCCACTTAACAAGATCCTTCTCAAAATAAAAAAATAATAAAAGAGCTGAAGATGTAATCTTCACTACTGCAAAACAAACACACTTCTTGTGAAGAGATGTCCTTCTCCTTCTTGGTCATTAGGCTGTACTGACTGTCCACTCTGGCTTCCCCAAAGCCACAGTAAGAGTTTTATGTGCCAGGTCTTTGTTTGTTTTGGTGCCAGAGATTGAACTCAGGACCTTGTGCTTGCGAGGCAGGTGGTGGAACCACTGAGCTAAATCCTTGGCCCTGGGTCTTTGTTTTTTTACTGGGGATTGAACTCAGGACCTTATGCTTACAAGGCAGGTGCCAGAACCACTGAGCTAAATCCCTGGCCCCCCAGGTCTTTGAATTGGAAGGAGATCATCTGGAATGTCAAATCCATGGTAGCAGAGACTGTTTTTGTTCTTTCCTATATTTCAGATGACTAGAACATTGCCTCACCTATAGTAGACACCAAAAAAATGAGTATTTTAAAAATGATTGATTAGCTATGCTAACTGGTCTTGCAACTCCTCTTTCCATGATGAAGAAACTGAGGCCCAGTGATGGGCAGTGGCCTGCCTAGTGTTGTGCAGAGAGCCTATGGCAGTGCTGGCGACATTGCTGTTTTATGACTTCTTATCTGGAGCTTTTTCCTTGACTTCATGCTACCCTTGTAACATGCCAACTTTACCTTCCCTTCTTTTGAATTCTTCCCCTCTTTTTATGCATTTTCTCAGCCTTGAACACATTTGCTTTGGTTCTATTCTAGGGTATCTGTAATCCAAAGGACATTTTTTTTTTTTACTTCTCATCAACCTATACAAATAATCTACTTTCATGAACCTACTCTCTCTGACATATATCATTTTCTTGCCTAAAGTGTGAATTGATGTACATGATAGGCACATGTGGATACCTGTCATCATCCAGGGGACTGGCTTTGTTGTGTCACTGTGAGTTATATGAGGTTAAGTACCATCTTTTGTGTTCCAGAAGTGGTAATATCCACTCATTTAAAATAAATGATTCTTCTTGGTTATATTTTTATAGCAGGATGAATGTCTATTATGTCATTACTATTTTATGCAGATGTACTTTGTGACCAATCATAATAATGTTACTAACAGCACCTAACATGACCTAACTTTTGTATTGGGCTTTACATTTTATCAAGAGTTTTTATATATATCGTCCATTATCTCATTTGGTTTTAAAAGCACCTCTAAGCAGTTAGCAATAATTTTCTCAAATCATCAAGTGGCAGATGAGATAGATGGAACAGTCTAGATCTTTCTTTTTTTTGGTGCCGGGGATTGAACTTGGGACCTTGCACTTGTGAGGCAGGTGGTAGAACCACTGAGCTAAATCCCTGGCCTGGTTCAGCTTTTTAAAAACAGGGAAATGCTGTCACTTTTGAAAAGAAGAATGATTCTAGATGATATTATGATAAAATAGACTAGGTGCAGAAAGACAAGTACTGCATGATCTCACTGATACATGGAATCTGTAAAAGCCAAACTCGTAGAAGCAGAGTAGAATGCTGGTAGCCAGGGGTAGGGAAGGTTGAAGGAAATAGGGAGATGTTCATCTAAGGCTACAAAGTTATAACTAGGCAAGATGAATAGGTTCTAGAGATCTAATGTACAACATAGTGATTATAATTAATAATACTGTATTATACACCTGAAATTTGATAAGAAAATAGATCTTAAATGTTCTCATTATGCAGGGGAAACTGTGAATTGATAAATATGATAATTTACTTGATTGCAGTGATAATTTCACAATGCATACATATATCAAAACATCACACTGTACACTGTAAATATATAAATTTTATTTGTCAATTATACCTCAATAAAGCTGGAAAAAAATCTTGCATTTCATAGGCACCTTTTGGGATTCAATTTCCTTCTAAATGATTTTGCTTATGACAGGTGTGAGGCTGCTTTGTGTTTTAGCCAAGAAAACAAATCTGGAGGCAAATCTGTACTTTTGATCGATTCCTACGTAATTAAATCTTTTATAGTTTGCATTCTGAGTTGCAGCTGGGTTCATGTATGTGTGTGTGTGTGTGTGTGTGTGTGTGTGTAGATATTAATAGCCTTCATTTCAATTATACTCTGTGATGGTGTAGTCTAGAGATTTCAAATGTTAAAAATGTGACGTGAACATGACTAAAAATGATTCAAACAATATAGGAAGGTAGAAAAATGAACATTCACTTTTCATTTGCCATTATTAGTCCCACTGCCTAGATAGAATCAGCTTTTATCATTTATTTCAGTTCTTCTGGTGATTATTTTCACAAATTAAATAAGATTTTACTTCTCTTACTTGTTTAATCAACTGTGAACAATAGCTTTTCAATCCCATTTATCATATTTGAGAGTTATCTCATTTCACCCTAAATCCATTCCTTTTTCCTAAATTTGATTAATTTTTTCATTTAAGCAATCTATTTTCAAGTCTATTTTGTGAACCATGACCTGTGACACTATCTACAGAGTCCTAACCACATAGAGGGAAGGAGTTAGGGTTTCAGTTCTGCACTTTTCACATATTCTGACTTCTCTCACCTGTTTTGTCAGTCATGTAGTTTAAGGAGAAAATACATTTCCTTCCAAGAAAGATGTTGGTTTTCTTATAGAATCAGTGTGAATGCTGGAAATTTAATCTCAGAAAATGAGAACCAAAAGGCTTTAAAAGAGAGTAAATGACTGGGAATACCATAAGTCACACTACAGGGACTGTTGCTATCAGCATGTGTCCTTGAAGCTGCCACTGCTTCTCTGAGTCATGACTCCAAGATCTAAACTGCTGGCTGGAAGTTTCTAGTTGATCTATTCTAGATCAGATACCTACGCTAGTTCCCAGGCCCCCATGGAGAAGAAAAGTCTTATTTTCTTTTGGCCTCTGAAATACATATTTAAATTAGGTGAAGTAAACTACTCAGCTGTCAAAAGAAGTAGCAGAATGGATTTAGCTGATAATGAATCAGTGAACTGGAAGGTCAGCTCAAGGAACTCTCTTGGAAAATATGAGGAAGGACTAAAGAGATGAGAAATGTAAAAGCAAGGCAGAGCAATATGAAAGAAATAGAAGAAAACCTAAATAAATGGAAAGATGTCTCATCTTCATGAATTGGAATTGTTAATATTAAGGAATCAATACTTCCCAAACAGAGGGTCTATGCAATGCCTAACTAAATCTCAGCTGGAGGTTGTTTTTTTTTTGGTGTTTTTTCGGAAATTGACAAATTGATCCTAAAATTTATTTGGTATTATAGGATGCCCTCAAACAATTTTAAATAAGAGGAAAAAATTTGGAAGATTCACATTTCACAACTTCAAAACTTAGTACAAAGCTATACTAATCAGGACAGTGTGGTACTGGCATAAAGACAGATATAGGAATCAATGAATTAGAAGAGTACAGAATTCTCAAATTTCTGGTCAAATGATTTTAGTCAAGTATGCCAAGACAATTCAGTGGTAAAATAAGATTTTTCAGCAAGTGGTGTTTATTTTTTTATTTTTTTGGTACCAGGGATCAAACTCGGGACCTTCTGCTTGCGAGGCAGGTGTCAGAACCACTGAGCTAAATCCCCGGCCCAGCAATTGGTGTTTAAACAACTGTATATCCACATACAAAAGAATGATGTTGGATTCCTTCCTCACACCATACACAAAATTGGCTAAAAATGGATCACAAATCAAAATGTAATACTTAAACATACAATTTTTACAAAAAATGTAACAGTTAAATGTACAATTTTTACAAGAAAACTTATAGGAATAAATCTTTGTGACCTTAGGTTAGTCAATACTTTCTTGGACACAACATCAAATGCATAAACAACTAAATAGATAAATTCAACTTCATCAATTTAAAAACCTTTTGTGCCTCAAAGGATATCATCAAAAAAGTGAAATAACAAATATTCTAGTTTGTCTAAAGGGAGAAACTTTTGAAAAAATAATATATCAGACAAAGAACTTGTATTTAGGATGTATAATCCAATTAAGAAATGAACAGTTTTTGAATATTTTTTTCCAAAGAAGATATACAAATTGCCATAATCACTTGAAAAATGATTAATATCATCCTTAGTCATTAAGGAAATGCAAGTTAAAACAATAATGAGATATCACTTCACGACCACCAGGAAGGCTAAAAAAAAAAAAAACTTATTGTTAAAGATTTAAAGAAGTGGAAATTCTTATTCATTATTGGTGTAAACATAAATTGGTGCAGTATGGAAAATAGCTTGGCAATGCATCAGAATATTAAATACAAAGTTATCACATGACTTAGTAATTTTAAGTATATAGTCAAGAGCA